TATATATATATATATATATATATATATATATATAAGCATAGACATGAGAATAAAACCAAGCCATTGTCATAAAATAATTAAATTGTAATACAACATTTTTAAAACCATTAAATCACCAATAATATCAACACAATCATGATAAAATGTGATGCGCTCTAAGTCAAATAACAATCTGATCTTATTTGAACATAGAGGTACCTATGGGCAGATGCACAAAACCTTTATAAGGATTTTTTTTTGTATTTGTTCATTTAAAATGTGATAAAATATTTGTGCAGGATGTTCACAATAGCTGGGGTTTTACCTTTTTTTTTTTTTTTTTTTTCCGTTTGCCTTATTTTTTTAATTGCTGTGATTTTTTTTTTTTAAACTTCGCCACCCCCCCAAAAAAAATAAAAAAAATAATATATATATATATTTTTTTTTTTCATACAATTAGCACCATCACACTTCCAAATAGTCGAACATCTCAGATTCTTTGAAAAGAAAAACACTTTTGAACATTGTGCCTATAGTTGTGCACATCTGAACTGGTGTTTGAATATACAGTAAAGTTGTATGAACTGTGGAAAAAAAAGTTCATTATTAATCTACACTATAGACTGTGCTTTCAATAAATCTAAGACATATTAATGTTTCACATTTTGACGCAGCTTTACGTCATGCTGGGAGCTGTTTGGATTCAGAACATGTGGCATGCTGAACTTTAGTCAGGTCAAATGTTGTATACAAGGTCCCTCTCTCCTTACAAAACCTGCTAAATTTTGTGTTTTTGTCCTCTAAAATCTGCCTTTCAAAAATGAAAATAATATGACACTTTATTGTTTTGGTCTTTAGGCACATAAAATCATTTAAGAAGTTGATTTCTGACCTGGTGAAAATGTTAGGTAGTTGTTGCCTTGATATGGTAACGTAAAGCAGGATTGGCCATCAGAAAAGCATTGTTTCAAAAATGTTACCGATTCATTTAATGAATCTCTTACCTTCCTGACTCGATCACCTGGGCCTTGCAGTTTGACAGGGCTTCTGCTAACTCCTGTCCAGATGCATGCATTTAGAACAAGAAGCATTGTTTAAAACTATTCATACGTAACCTTGTTTCAACTGGAACACAATGCAGGAACAATCAATGGAACTCAAAGGTCAAAAAACACATTGATCTGACTAAGGCCCCGTTTACACAAAAACAATTTCTGTTGAAAATGGAAAAGTTTCTTTGCGTTTGTACTCAAATGTAAGAAAATAGCTAATATTTTATCTGACAATGGAACAATTTGAGTACGGTTTCCAGAGTCCAATGGCTCAAAAACGTCCCGGTGTCCGTTGTCGTGTAAACAGAAAAAAAAAAATTCTGTCAGGGAATCCCTGGCTCATGCGCAATATGATGCAAAACATAATGACTTCCTGCAATCCACAAAAGAAGAAACTAATCTTTATTAACTTATAGATAATTATAGATTATAGATAATTAGATTCAAATAATTATATATATATATATATATTTATATATATATATATATATATATATATATATATATATATATATATATATATATTACTTGGACATTGGTGGAAAGTCACCCTAAGCAACAGTTGAACCTAATCGTCTGTCCATAGAAATATTTTATTCTGTAGAACTTCTTTTTTTTTTTCTCGCATGTGCACTTAGAATTTCAAGTTTCAATAAACATAGCACCAGCTAGTGGCGTGGTGGGGGAATTGCATATTTTCCACGTCTACTGTTGCTGTGTAAACAGAGACTGTAATGAGAATGTTTTCATGTAAATGTGTTAATGGAAATGGGGGAGGGGATCATTTTTCATTGGATCATTGCCATTTAAACAGGGCCTAATTCTGTTGAATTAAAACATGAATTCATTATTATTATTTTATTTAGTCATTTAGAAGAAGCACAAACAACAAAAGTAATTCACCTTAGCAAGTTTGTTTGGTGCATTTAAAATTTTGTATATTACACATGATTTAACCATCATGTCTGTGTATGCATTTGTCAAGAAAGTAAAACTGCTTATTCATTAAACTGATTAAAAATATATAGAAAAATGGGATTGTCTTTTTTTCAAGGGGATCTAAGTCACACTGTTTAGTTTAACTTATACATAAGGTGTATGCATATTATGCATAAGATGACTAAACCTGCTTTCTTTAAATTAAACCGAATGTATAGTCAAGAAGAAGATGTACTGAATAAAGACTATTTGCAAAATCCTGCACAGTGCATGTACTGTGCATGCTTTTGCAAATACAGTCTCTATTCAGGAGCTCATAAGGTTTTGCTTCTTTTTTAGTGTGACGAGACAAATACAGTATGTCAGACATGCATTACTAGTCCAGAAGCCATAATTTGTGGAAAGAAAACAAGAACCTGTTTAAAAAAAACATCAATAGGCTCCAAAAAGCTGGGCTCTTTAAAGCAGAACTTGCTCCCTCGAGACCAGACGTACGTGAGCTCATTACTGGAGGGTCACAGATTCAGTTCTGAGAAATGACTCACCCACCATAAAGAAAAGTTGAAAATTCACCAAGTTGTTTTTTTAAGTGCTCTTGTGGATTGTTTTTTTTTTTTGTTTTAGCAATATCAGGCCTAAGATTAAACATTAATTGATATGCAATAGAAAATCTTTAGATGTGAAAATAACATGTGAACCTGTCTGTTATTACATTATTCCACTCGTTCAAATATTATCACATCTTAACTATAATTCTCAAGGTTGTAGTTTGAATTTATTTAAGAAAACATGTTTTAAACAGAAATAATTTGAAAACTGATTGAAATATAGACCCATAATACGCTACAAATCTTGTCTCCTCTTCTCAACGCCGTCTCAACACTTACAGGTGCGGTCCAGATGCTGAAGGGCTCTGTGTTACGCTTTGGTTTCTTGGATTGCATGGGAGTCCTCATTCAGAGCCCATATGAGGTTTGGCGGGACCAAAATGCCCCTGAGGACCCTGATCGGCTGCGGAGGCGCAAACTGGTCCACTTTTCTCCGTCATCCTCCCAGGACGCCTACGGAGATGGACATTTGGCCGTGGTGTGCTCCGAGAGGCAGGCCAAAGTCTTCATGATGCCCTCGCAGACTTGCCTCTTCGTGCACAACATCACAGAGTCCTCTTTTGTGCTGCGAGCCGACGTGGTATCTGTGTGTAACAGCGTGTGCCTGGCCTGCTTCTGCGCTAACGGACATGTCATGACTCTCAGGTACAATCCCATCAGAGAGCTGCATGTGGCTGTTCCTTTCATCGGACTTATTAACACTTTGTTTTAAGTTTCTCAATAAATTAAAATAAGCATGACAAGCAGTGTTTTAATGTACATCACCCACTGAATGTCATGCAAGGATTTTAGACTAAAATAGTTTTATGCTGAAACAATTAAATTGTGCAAAATATTTGATTTTGTGAGGCCCAGCCAAGTTGTGCTGGTGCTCAATGAATGTGTTGAAAAAAATTCTCAGCCTCCACCAGACCAGAAAATAGCTCAATGTGTGTAAAATCTATTGCGTTATCCCTATTGTTTATGTTGGCTAAGTTTGATTAGCATGCGTCTTGAATTAGATTGACTCCAAATGTTATTAACAGATATACAATTGATTATTTTCAGAGTATTTAAATTATTTTCAGGGATTCATGAGATATCCATCTAACATCCTAAACATCCACTTGAATTGTCCCCATTTTAACCTTTTGAATTAAAAGTGCCTATTTTGGTGAATAAATGTATAAAATGTCCCATTTACAGGTAAACTCATGAAAAATGTGAATTTCATGAATATTTATAACATTTTTAGCGTTATGGAAATTTGCAGCTAATCAGTCTTTTCTACTCATTTGGAAGCTAACTGGTGGCACCAGCTTACATGTCTTATTGTGTGAATGTTTATGAAGCATTCACACTATTGTCATCCATTTTTTTCTGTAATATTTTCAGCACAATTCTCGTCCCGCAGTTTTCAAGCTATTTCAAAAAATCATATATCAAAACATTCGGCTCTTTCAGGACAATCCTGCTATGACTTTTGGTATTGGTGCAATGTTAGCTTTTAAAATATTTAGCCTTTCTGCCATTTTTTCCTCAGAGAAAATGAATTGAGCTCATTTTACAAACTTCAAATCTTTAGATCCGCTTAAAGCCTTTTTCTGCTCCTTTCACATTTTGTTCTGGTTCAGCTTCTTTCAGCTTATTTATGCAAATGTAAACATTTCTTCAGTTAATTTCAGCTGGTGTTATTTTTTGCTCTTTTGTGCTCCTTCCACATTCTTTCTTAAAACTCAACATGTTTGTACTTCTTCTAACTTAGTTCTGCTAATTTCATTTCAGCTTGCTATACTCCTTTCAGCTGATTTTTGCAAGTTTCAACTACTTCTGCTATTTCATCTACTATTTAGCTGTTTTTATGCTAATTTGAGCATTTCAGCTAACTCCACTTTTAAGCACTCATTTCAACTTTTTTCATCCCAGTTAAGCAAACATGTACTCTCTCCACTCCGTCTTGTGGTTAAAGCATCTTTCTGATTTTTAGCTACTTCTCAGTTGTTTGTGGTCATTTCAGTTTTTTTCAGATAATTTCCACCTTTTTTTGTGCTCATTTCTGATTCTTTCAGCCAAATTGAGCAAACATGTTCTTGCTGCTTTCTTCTGCAACTTTAAGCTTTTTTATAACTTTCCAGCTACCTTTTTAGCTAATATTAACTGTTTTCAGATAAATTCAAGTTTTTCATAGTAATTTCAGCTACTTTCGGCCAAATTAACTTCTGTATGCTAATGTCAGCTTGTTATGCTCCTTTCAACTTTTTCTGAACTTTCAGCTACTGTTGAGCTGTTTTATGCAAATTTTAGCTTTTTCAACTAACTACACATATTTTAGCTAATTTCAACTCTTTCTACTTCCTTCTGGTTGTTTAAGCGTCTTTCTGCATTTCGTCTACTTTACAGCTTTTTTAAGTTAATTTCCTAATTTTTGTGCTCCTTATTTAAAACAAATTCCACAAATATGTCTTTCTGCTTTCTTCTAATAATTTAGGCTTATTCTTCCATTTCAGTTACATTTCAGCATGTTTTTTAAGTTAATTTCAGGAATTTTTCAGCCAGTTCTTCTTCAATAAGCATTCACACTGCATTTTAACAGGAAATGCAATTCATCTAGTTTTAGTATTGTTGGACCTAAACCTGATCCCCATCTATGGTTGGGTACTCTTACATGATATGTTTATTATTACAGAAGAAATCCTGGCGTCTAATACGTCTTTCATTCTTGTCATTCTGTTCACAGTTTGCCCAGTTTAAGACCGCTGATGGATGTCAATTACCTGCCTCTGACAGACATGCGCATTGCTAGAACATTTTGTTTCACCAATGGGGGGCAGGCGCTTTATCTCAGTTCCCCCACGGAGATTCAGAGAATTACATACAGTCAGGAGATGTGTGACAACCTGCAGGTGAGCGCTGTAGTTAGTCTATACATCCCTGAGTTGAGAAAAGTACCGATGCAGTAAATACGCAGATTATGTTATTTGCATGTTGAAGTTTCCAGCTGAGAGAAGGCACTTTTGGCAAATGTCAATCTAGGAACACATTTTATATACGACTATTTTCAGTAGCAACATATACACTGATAAATGTCTGTGGATTCTGTAATGTGATGTTACAATAGTGCCATCTACAGGCAGCAGGAATGTCTTTTTGTAATGATTGCAGTATGACAAGTCTGTTACTCAAGGCTTTATTTATTTTCCTTCCATGCCTTTTTTTATTGCAGGAAATGTTGGGAGAGCTTTTCACTCCAATAGAAACACCAGAAGCCCAGAACCGAGGATTTTTAAAGGGCTTTTTTGGAGGAAATGCCCACACATTTGACAGAGAAGAGCTCTGTGCGTCTTTTTGTCTTACTTTTATTCATAATTGAATGTTTTATTCTAGTATGTGGTGTCATAAAACACCTACATCATGTATTTGTATATTAAAAAAAACATGTTAGTTAAAGGTACTCATTGCAAACTATAAATTAAAACATAAAGGGTATTGTGAACTTGAATTCATGAAAAGGTTCAGTTTGAAATAAAGTTTACTTCAGTGTTTTTCCAGATGAATTGGTATGCAATTGTGAAATGCAGGTATGCACTCAACGTAAACAAAACACTCTGTGGAACAGATCTTCAATTGTTTACCTATCTCAGCCCCTTTGGTTGTTTCCACAGGTAAACAAACATGGTAATGGACAATCATTCACAATTTTTGCTACCATTTTTTTTATTATTATTATTTAAGAATGCATTGATCATTGAGGGAGGGTGGCATGGTGGTGCAGTGGTCAGCGCCGTCTGTCACCTGAAGGATGTGGCTTCATCTCTCAGCCTAGCTTGGTGGAGATTGCATGTTCTCCCTATGCCTACGTGTTTCTTCTGGGTACTCTGGTTTCCTCCCACAGTCTAAAAACATCTGTTAGGTTGATTAAAACTCTAAATTGTTCCTAGGTGTGAGTGAGAGGATGAAAGGTTGTAAGTTTTTACGCGACCCTGTGATAGACTTGCAACCTGTCCAGCATGTCCTCCACCTCTTGCACAGTGACTGATGGAAACAGACTGTCTGGGACCCAGAAAAGAACAGTGAAAAAAAAAAACCATGGCTTTACCATCAATTTAAGAAAATAATTGATAATTGTGGATTTTGGTTCATACTTAATTATATTTACTGGTATTAATGGCATTGTAATGAGTACCTTTAAGCTTTACAATTTAAATTGTTATCATTACAAAAATATATAGTCAGTATGTTGTAGTAAAACTTCACAGCGTTCTATCCTTTTACTCTTTTGTTGTCTAATATGATTTTCAGTTGGTGAGGCTGCAGCTGGGAAGGCTTCCCGCAGTCTGGCGCAGCACATCCCTGGTCAGGGAGGGATGGAGGGCATGAAAGTGGCAGCAGGCGGGGCGGTGGGTGAATTAGCTCGAGCTCGTATTGCTCTGGACGAAAGAGGCCAAAGGTTGGGCGAGCTGGAGGATCGAACCGCCCTGATGATGACCAGTGCAGAAACTTTCTCCAAACATGCCCATGAGGTGAAAAACAAAACTCAAAACTTGTGCTTAAATGTCTGAAAACGCTAAACCAATATTGAGAATATGAATATTAAATATGAGAATACAGGTTTTGTCATCTTGAAAAGCATTTAGTCATAATGCAGCACAACTATGGGGTGACGTTTGTGAAGTTACAGTCAAAAATTACCAGCAATGTTTTGGTTTATTTAGCGTTCACAAGAAAAAAAAAAAGTTTGTTTTTCAAAGTCATATTGCCACCATGTTATTCATACATTTATAAATGTCACAGTTCCAAACTAAATATTTAATTTACAAGCTAAATATTTAGTTTACAAACTAAAATACTTAACTTGCAAGTTAAATATATAGTTTACAAAATAAATGTTTGTCCAAGCTAAATGTTTAATTTACAAAATAAATATTTAACTTGCAAGTTATATATTTAGTTAGTGGACTAAATATTTAGGTGTAAATTAAATATTGAATTTCCAAGTTAAATATTTATTTTTAAAACTAAACATTTACTTTCCAAACTAAATATTTATTGCCCAATAAAAAAAAAAAATTAATTTCCAAACTTAACATTTAATTTCTAAGCTAAACATTTAATTCCTAAAATAAATTTTTAATTTGCTAACTAAACATTTAGCTCAGACCTAAATATTTATTTTCAAAGCTAAACATTTAATTTCCAACATAATTTTTTAATTTAACAACTAAATATTTAGCTTGGACGTAAATATTTATTTTTCATACATTTAATTTTCAAAATAAATGTTTAACTTGCAAGTTAAATATTTAGCTCAAACCTAAATATTTAGCAAATATGCAAATTCCTTACCAAAAAGTGGAAGTAAACTCAAAATAAAAGCTGAACCTCTGAATATAAACATCTTGCAAAACCACCAAAATACACCAGAAGTAGAAGAAGAAGAAGAAACAGAAGAAGAGAAGTTGCAGCTGGCCAGACTGAATTGCTTCAGTTTTCTCTTTTGTGCCGTATTTTATTTAAAATACTAAAATATCTCAAATCTGTCTTCTACTTCTTGTGTTTATTGGCAGTTTGGCAAGAGGTGGTGTATGTTTAGAGTTTATACATTTATTTTGATAGTCCACCTCTGCATGTCAGCAAGGAATTTGCATATTAGCTAAACATTTACTTTAGAGCTAAATATTTAACTTGCAAGTTAAATATTTAACTTGCAAGTTAAATATTTAACTTGCAAGCTAAATATTTAGCTAGCAAGTTAAATATTTAGGTCTGAGCTAAATATATAGTTGGCAAATTAATTATTTATTTAGGAAATTAAATGTTGGAAAATAAATACTTAGGTCCGATCTAAACATTTAGTTGGCAAATTAAATCTTTAGTTTAGGAATTAAATGTTTAGCTTAGAAATTAAATGTTTAGTTTGGAAATTAAATATTTAATTTACAACTAAATATTTAGTTCACCAACAAATATTTGTAAATAAACATTTTAACTTGGACATAAACATTTACTTGTAAAATAAGTTTTTAGCTTGGAACTGACATTTATAAATTTATGGAAAAAAACAACAACATTTTTTTCTTATGAAAGGCTAAATAAACCAAAATATTGCTGTTAATTTTTGACTGTGTAACTTTACAAATTGCACCCCGTACACAACAAATTTGTTTCCATTACTATTTGATAAACACGTTTCTATGTCATACATTATCATTATCACTAACTTGGGCTCTTTTTACAGCTCATGTTGAAATGCAAAGACAAGAAGTGGTACCAGTTCTAACAGGAGGACTGACGGATGAGACTGTCTGCTTAGAACTTCATGCTGCGACTGGACTTTCACTTTATAAATGAAAGCAATTAGAGGAGACACAAGCGTGACTTTGTCTTTGCAGCTTCCGGGACTGGCTGTGTGTACAGCGCTGTCACGTTGCTGAATTACGAGAACAAGCTTGTTCCTCATCTAGATCGGCCGAGACGCGAGTTGTAAGAGGATGTCGGAATTTGAAGGCCTAAAGATGAAACGGGAAATATCTAACAAGTCTGTATGTGTATGAGTGTGTGTGCGTGTGTGTATGTGCGTAGTTGGTTTTCCTGATTTTCTGACCTTACAGTGTAGATACAAGTTATGAAACCAACAAGAAATGCATGAAACATTGGATGAGTATTAAAAATATACAACTGCCATATAAAAGCAGCATGCCACTTTAACAGGAGATTTGAAATGGAAAAAAAAAATATTTATAATGTAAGCCAACAACAGAAACTATAAGAAATCTTTATATTTTTTTGAGATACTGGCAAAAAGCTATATATAAAAAAGGAAAATGTATACCTGCATTGCTATTAAGCCAAAACCTGTTACTTTCCCTTTATTTTCGTTTGTGATTAATTGTGTTTATTTTTCTTAATTTCAGAAAATATTTCTTGACACTATAAATGCACACAATTAACTATCTCTACACAAAGAATACTCAAAACACTGTCCTTACTTCTAATATTGTAGGCTGCACAGTACAAATTCCAAGTACAACTAACATTTAATCACACTGATCAAGTTTTACGTTTCAGCTGAAGCTACTGGCATTAAGTTGTGAAAAGGGGCGGAGGCAGAAAGTCTATTTGGAATTGTGTGTTTAAATCTGTACAAATCTGTATACGTATATTCATGTGCCAAAAAAAATGACAAAAACAGATTAATCTCTTCACTGCAAACTAACTAAAGAGCTAATATGTGGGAATAATGTGAATGAGATAGAACACATGGGGTTTCACCAATAGGGCATTTGTCATAACTCATTGTTTTTCATAAAAAATATATATATATATATATATATTAAGGGTGTTGGTGTGTCTTTACCTGCTTTTGTCAGATGTATATGTTCAGTGAGCCATAGGTTTGTGTGTGTATTGAAAATACATTGAGAAAGAGTGCCACAGATGCAGAACACGACCCTTTTTCTGCTAAAGCAATCACAATTTAATAACTCATTCCCATCTCTGCACAACACACCATTGTGCATTAAACCCAAGCAGTTTCCACCCGTAATGAAGGTCAGCACTCATGAGGGTCACTGTGTTTGTGATGGTGAGCTGGAATCACATTGGTTCCATCTCTATCGAGTCTCCTGTGTGTTTACCGGTAAACGATTCAGGGGAAGTAACAGTATTTTTTTAGTGATGTACAGATGTTGAGTCAGTGAAGAAACTGTACATGTTTAAAACTCAAAGCAATTTTTTTATTTACTTTTTTTCTTTCAATATTGTTGTTTCTCACTCTTATCTGTGTCACAGTCCTATATTTGATGGTTGTGGCCTCTTAAATGAAGGTTGATGTATTAAAAAAAAAAAGAGCAACTAATGTTTCATGATACATGGCTGTGTATCAAATAGTGATTGTGCCGTATGTCAGTGGATAGCCACATGACATGGACTAACATCAAGTGAGGAGGACGTTTTGTACTTGTGTACTTGTTTGTATTTTGAACTTATCTGAGAAAAAAAAATCTTAACATTGGAGATTTCCATCTCTCACACATTAGTTCTTTATGCACATCAACACACACAGTATGAAGTGAAGCACCTTGGTCTTGTAGATGTCAAGACACAAGTGAATCAGTCTTTTCCTTCTTCTTTTTGTCAGGCTGCTGAGACGTTCCTTAGACTTAAATGGCCTTCTTTCACACACCTTAGCTGACCAGAAAACTCAAGGCTGAGCTACCTACGCATATTTCAAATGTTCCACATAATTGGATTCAACGCTGTGTCTTAATCATGTCAAAATATTAATATTACATTTCTCTTCTATCTCTGTACCGTCAGTGAGATTTGTGTTCAGTGCAGTTCTTTCAGTGGCAGAGAAAACTCACAAAAAATAAAACGAAACCAAAATAAAATTTACAAAAAGTTGTAAAAAAAATAAATAAAAAAATAATAATAATAAACAGACTACCGCTGACAGGGTGTTTTGTTAGTATGTTTTTGGTTTCTATGTTTTCTGGCTTTTTTTATAATACCTGTACAGTTTAACTTTGGGTTAAAAAGTAAAATAAAAAAATATATATAAAAAGACTTGAAATATTTTCTGCATATACCCGTTACTGCTGGTACTGTACTATCTGGTATTCTTGCTCTGTCTAAATCACTGGAACTATGTAGTTCTTCACACAGTAGTATGTTGAAAAGGCAATCCTTTGATTTGAATCTAATTGCCACAAAGTTTGTCTTATTTCAATTGATTCTACCACTTTTTGTTTCTTGATATATTCTAGTGTAATAGAAATTACTTGACGAAAAAGGTCTAAAAATATGTTGATGCAAACGCAAACTGAAATAAACATTGGTTGATGTACACATGGAGAAGTTCTGTTTTATTCGGTCAAAATCAGATTCAGCTTATCTCATTTTGCTTGAAAAGAAGAGTAATATTGCTATATTTTCATTACCCAAAATATTCAAAACCACTTTCGTTCAAGGTTCAAGGTGACTTTATTGTCATCCGCATTTGGTACATGAGGTGGAACAGAATTGTGTACTCAGAGTAATAATATAAAAGTATATGATGAATCCCATTTGTGGATTTTATCCTTTGTGGCTTCAACTTCTGGCTTCCAGCCCTGTGTCTAATTATGTTAGGTGCAATGAAGGAAAATACCCTACCATGAGTTGCAGGCAAAAAAGAGAACAGGAGTATAATGAATCCACAAACACTTGTATTTGCATTTGATGTCATAATTGTCTCTTTTTTTTTTTCCCCCATTAAGTCTTATTACATTCAAAAATATCTACCATACCATACCACTTTATTTATAAAGCACTTAAAACAGCAACAAGGCCAACCAAAGTGCTGTCTAAAGTTTAGTATTGTTACATTGAAGAGTTCATTTGCATGCACACATACTAATAAAATTTAATTTTAGTTTATTTATCACAAAAACTCAAAATAATAAGTAAATAGCCTTTTGGGACTTACAAGGAACTCTTGTTGGTGAGCTGAAGCAAATAACCGGATTCCTGAAAAGCACAGACAATTCCATCAGCATCTTGTGAGTTTCACTTCCGTATTTCTATCCGATTTTCATTTATTCATTCATTCATTCATTCAACCTTTATTTAGACAGATAAATCAAATTGAGCCTCAACGACTCATTTGCAAGTGAGACCAGTTTAGACGGACAAAAAAAAAAAAAATGAAAGTGACACATATAGGATTTGGAGGCAAAAAAATAAATAAAAATTCCTATACAACTCCTTCTTTTTGACCGAGGAGAAAACCCCTGATATTGAAAAAACACCCCCACACATAGGCACATAGTGACATAGTTATTCCGCATGGGAGGGGAGACGCCAAGAGGGGTGATCATGTCAAGGACATACCAGAAACACTGTAAGAGTCTGATAAGAATGGTACAATCAGTCAGTTCCCTCTGGTGAGATCCGTAAACACTCTCGTGCCAAGGTCGACCTGGAACAGCACCAGAGAGAATCCGAGAATCCTGAAATGATGACACATTCATTCAGCTGGTTCCATCTGATAGGTCCACAGACAGTGGGAGGAGAAGGGAGAGGACACAGCATCAAACTACAGGGCCTCCAGGCGTATTGAGATAATGGGGCCAGTCAAGGCCAGCCAGGGAGCCGAATTCAGTTAAGCAACAAATTTATTGGGAACAGGCAGAACATTACAGATTCATGTCTGCCTTGAGTCTTTACTGATCCTCTCAAATCCCAAACATCCAAATTAAGTGGACAGACGCAGGTAGTCTGACCAGGGCCAAATCTGCTGCCGACGACTTCCTTGTCTGTTGATAGACCAGAAACCAGCCAAATCCAAAAAGCAGTAAACCAGTTATCATAAATCCAATTGTATATGCATCCTTGGCGCTTGTCTTCTCGTCGAGAAAAGCTGGCTCGCCTGAAGCTTGTCTTGAGAAAATGTTATCAGTTGCGTTGAGAGACCAACTGACCAGCTCCATAGCAAAAAATTACGACTCGGAAGATTTGTAGAGACAGGCTCTGAAGCAGTTTCACAGACAGGACAGAGCAAAGCAAAGTAGAGAAGGGAGATGAGAGGAAAAGTGTCCGCCCTTGACAAGACCAAGTGGTGAATTTCATATTCAAATTCCCATTGGTCTTTAAGCCAATCAAACCAAAGTGTGATTAACTGACGGCCAATCGGATCCCTGCACTGTGCGATCTAAGCCCGCCTCCAGCAAATGCCTGAAGTTAAAAACTGTGCAGCAACGCTTTTATAGATAAATGGATTAATATCATTACAAAGATGTGTTAAAATATCTTAAATATTATCTTTTTTTTTTTACCAAATATAAAGTATTAAATATGTCATAGTTTTATCCTGTGGTTCTAGATAGAAACAGTACACAAGTTAGCACTTATGGTTGAGTTCCACTGTGGACATCCGCAATCAGAGGACAAGAAGACAGAGAGAAAGTATCAAGGCTGGACATCAGGGGATGTCTCACTGACTGTTGATGCTGCTGTTCTGTCTGGAGGTGTTCAAGCATGATGACCCATTGAGGCTCAGGCTGGACCTGAACCAAGTGTAGCCAAATCATTGGTGTGGGGTCCAGGACTGGAAACGAGCATCATCCTCCCAGCTCGTTTTTTCTACATACAGGCGGTGGACAGCTCTGGGAAAAAGTACGTACATGTACCTCGTTGTATCCTCATTTGTGTCTGACTTCCATTTAATTTATGTTGTCCAGGTGTAACACCAACAAGTGTGACCAATTGGTTCAGGGTTCACCATGACAGGTGTCCCTAAATATGCCTTTAGGAGAAAAATAATAATAATAATTATTATTATTATTATTATTATTATTATTATTATTATTATTATTAT